AAAGTGGGTTTTGGGTGCTTAAGGTAAACCGCCAAACCTAAAACCCAAAGCCCGACACCTTACTTGACTCTCGACCCAAGATGTCCAGAACACCCTGAAAGCTCAACAGAAGACCCTGAGAGTTCGTACTTCAATCCTTGATCCGATACGAAAGTACTTGCAGGTGGCAAACGTCCTTTCATGTAAGATCCTGCTTCGGATTTGGTGCTTTGGTGCCCTGAAACCTACTGTCCCAAAGCCTGCGGTGCAGGATGGTTCTCTGATCATCCACGCACTGTGATGGTGGTGATGTTGTTGGTCGGTGGTGCTGTTGAAGTTGATGATGGTTGTCTGCTATTGCTGGCACAGGGACAGGATAGGCACCGTCGTTCCGACGGGGGTTTCGACAGTTTCTTACGTTCCCGTGTCTCTGTTAGTGGATTGAGTGCTATCAGCTGCAGATGTTGCTGAGACTGGTGACACGAATCAATGAACTTACTTTCGTCTTTCATTGCTGGTGTTTCGTTCTACCCCTGCNNCCCCCCCCCCCCCCCCCCCAGTTTCCTCATCCAGATTCATTGTCTCGGGCAAGTATATCCGCCTCAAGCCAGTCTTCCAGTCTGATTTCAAGCTCTTTGCAAAAGCGCGAACTCCCGCGTTGTCAAGAGAAAAGTTGCTACTGCTGACCGCTACGAAGACCATGGGGCTCGTTCGTGACACTTTGTGCCTTCACTGTGCCTTGTCTGCTGGACGCTAAACCCCTAGACCCATAAATCCCCAAACCCTAAAACCCTAAACCCTAAAACCCTAAATCCCTAAACCCCTACACCCCTAAACTCCTAAAGCCCTAAACCGAAGGTACGTCAAAGGAGATTCCAAGGGGTGGTATCCGATGATCTTGTGCCGAGTGACCCTCGGCCGGATCTACTACTGTGCGAACCAGGCAGCTCGGGAAGGGTTCAGGGTTCAGGGTTTAGGGGTTTTAGGGTTCAGGGTTTAGGGGTTTAGGGGTTCAGGGGTTTAGGGGTTTAGGGTTTTTGGGGTTTAGGGGTTTCGGGTTCAGGGTTTAGGGGTTTAGGGGTTCAGGATTTAGGGGTTTAGGGGTTTAGGGGTTCAGGGGTTAAGCGGTTTGGGTGTTTAGGGTTTGGGGTTTAGAGTTTAGGGTTTAGGGATTTAGGGTTAAGGCTTAATGGCCTTTTGGGGTTAAAGGTTCAGTGGTTTACGGCTTTGGGGCTTTACAGCTCGTCGGTTTGGGGTTGTTGGGTTGAGGGAGGGGTCAGTACTCTTGGTGTAGCGTTAATTAATGTAGGGTCTAAAGAATTACCAATATCATTGGGGGGTTCCCTTATTTTAGGTATAGTATAAGATACATGCTTCGGACCCTAAAACCTAAAACCCTAAACGTGAACCCTACACCCCGAATCCATCCTCAACCCCGCTGGCTAAGCGCCTCGGCAGAGTGCACCAGGTTCAGCTAATATAGGGGCCTTCACACACAAAACGTCCTAGGTACTGTTATGAGGGATGCTTCCCAAATAATAATAAGGATTCCTAATGTAGAAACCCTACTATATAGGCACTCTGGAGCCTTACAATCGTTACCTATACTATTTTGTGGGTTCCTTATTATTGTTATCAATATAGTACAACATACCCAAAAACCCGATTCTAATTAATAAGGCCCCTATACTACCACGACCCAGACCCTCTACCGCAGAGAGCCTTTAGCTTCAGCTTGTGCACTTGTTTTGTGGATCCGGGCCGCATCGTGCAGTAGGACAAGCAAGACAGGCCTTCAGGCAGTTCCCTGAACCCGAAGCCCTAAACCTTAAACCCTAAACCCTAAACCAAGGGCGATCGTTCTGTGTTTGAATTTCGGGTGCCTTCTTTGCCATACCCTAAACCCTAAAACCTCAACCCTTAACCCATACCCAGACGGGGTTTAGAAGTTCGGGCGGGTCCAGGATCCAGCTGGCAGATTGCTGCTGGGTTGGTTTCGCAGCGTCGTTTCCGCACAGGATCCAACGAAAGATCCTGGGCGTGACAAGCTCGAAAGTGCCTGCACCACAGGAGGGTGCGCCAAACTTAGATTTAGAGTGGAGACCCTAACCTAACCCAATAAAACGGAACCAATTGTTGAATTCAGCTCAGGGGCATCCAAGATCGACTGTCTTGTTTTTGGTTTTCGCATCCGTTTCGATACAAGGCATTGGGGATTCTGAGATTTGAGCATGAGGAGTTTAAGGTGTAGTGGCGTACTGCGGCGTACTAGGATGGCTGTCGTTGAAATGATCAAAGTAACGTGTTGCTAACTCTGATGATGGCTCTAGAATCTTGTTCTCATGTAGCAGCAAGGGTGGCAGCAGCAGTAGTTGCAGCACGGCAGCAGTAGGAAGAGTAGCAGCAGCAACAGCCGCTGTTGCCAGCCGCAGCAGCCGCGGCAGTAGCCGTAGCCGTCAAGCCGCAGCTGGATCCACAGTCGCAGAGCCAGTGACAGCCGCAGCTGCAGCCGCGGCAGGGACAGTAGCGACAGCAGTAGTAGCAGTAGTAGCAGTAGTAGCAGTAGTAGTTGTAGTAGCAGTAGTAGCAGTAGTTGTAGTAGTAGTAGTAGTCGTCGTCGTAGTAGTAGTAGTAGCAGTAGCAGTAGCAGTAGCAGTAGTAGTAGTAGTAGTAGTAGTAGTAGTAGTAGTAGTAATCGCCGTCGTCGTCGTGGTCGTCGTCGTCGTCATAATAGTAGTCGTCGTTGGAGTCGTTGTCCTAGTCGTCGTCGTGGTATTCGTCATAGTCGTAGTGGCAGTCGCTGTCGGAGTCGTCGTAGTCGTAGCGGTAGTCGTAGTCGCAGTCGCGGTGGTGGTGGTAGCGGTAGCGGTAGTGGTAGTGGTAGTGGTAGTGGTAGCGGTAGTCGTGGCTGTAGCAGTGATGTCCGAACTTCTGCTACTTGCATAAGAGTTCATGTTCAGAGTCTTTTGGCTTTAGGCTGAAAGCGGTTTGGGGATGAGGGTTGGGATGTTAAGGTGTAGACGGTGTAGATAAGGTATGTCTCCGTCAGGTACCACTGCGTCCTGGGCGATCGCCTTAAAGCCAGAGGCACCTATCGAGAATATGCCTGCGGCCCGGCATTCTGACCCAAAAATCCTTGTCAGAAACCCTAAACCCATATCAAATCCCCAAGCCCTAATCCCCAAACCCTTTTCCCTAAACCCTAAACCCCAATCCCGCAGCCCAACCCCAATCCCTAAACCCTAACTAACCCCTAATCCCCAAGCCCTAAACCCTAAACTCTAAACCCCCATCCCTAAACCCCAAACCCTAAGCCCTCTTTATCTTCAGAGGCCTTGCAAGTTCGGGTCCACGAGTCGCTATATGGAAGGGGCCGAAAGACGAAACAAAGACAAATTAACCCAAAACCTCGTGAGCCTAAACCGACCTATAGTCTCCATTGTAGGTCCTTTTTTGGTTTAACCAACTCCATATATCAAGGATTTTTGTACTATCCCCAAAAAGATGGAAACTATAGGTACCGTTGATGATAAAAATCCTGCATTACCTTATAAGGACCCTATACTTTTGGAATTACGGGGTAATGCAGGATCTATATCATCAACCGTAGTTTGAGTTCAGGCGCCCCCCATGGTGCGAGCCTTAAGCCCTTAACCCTTAAACCCTTACACCCGAAACTAAACCCTAAACTCTAACGCCCTAAACTAAACCCCAAAGCCTGAACCGTAAACCCTAAACC